GCGGAGTCGGCAGACGAGGCTTCCTTAGCCTCGAGGGCCTTCTGGACGAGGCGAGCCCTCCTCGCCTCTCGTGCCCTCCTCTCCTCCTCCCCCCGCCGCAGCGCCTCCTGCACCGCCGTGGGCGGTCGGGGGCGGGGCGGGGTGGGTGGCGCCTTACCCTGCGCCGGGGGGCGCCGACCACCCTGTCGGCGCTGGACGACGGCCCAGCCGTCTCCATCACCGTTCGCGGCTGGAGCGGGACTGGGTGGACCCCACACTGACTCTTGAGCAGCCTGCTCTGTGTTGCTCGGCGGCGCATGAGGCGCCGTGGTGTCCGCTGAGTCACCAGTGGCTACGACGGTGAGGCCGAATCGTTTGAGAAGCTGCACGAGCTGTGCCACACTCATCTGGGAGGCATCGGTAGAGTTTGTGACTCTCACCTTCTGGGCATACGAGGTCTTCGGGTGACTCTGGTTGTACACCTCCCGGGCCTCTTTGAAAGACAAATTTCTGGTAGCCTTGATGGTCATGATCTCTTTCTCCTTGACGTATGCAGGGCAAGACCTATCATACGCGGAGTGCGGCGTCTGCCCCTCTCCGCAGTTGACGCATCGGGGGGTCTCCGAGTCACAGGTTTCGTCAGTGTGGTCCTGCGAAGCACACTTGGAGCACGTGGGTCTTCCTCGGCAGTTGTCCTTTGTGTGGCCGAAACGTTGGCAGCGGAAGCAGCGCATGGGCGCTGGGACGAAAGGCCGCACGCGAACCTTCACGTAGCCCACGCGAATCTCACTCGGCAAGTCAGTGGAGTCAAACGTCAGAATTATGTTGTTGGTCGAGACCGTGCCTCTCTTCGTCATGATGCGGCGAGCCGCTGTCACGCCGAAATCAGCGAGCCCGTCCGCAATGTCCTCGTCGCTCACTCCCCTCAGATCGAAACAGTTAATGACCCCTCGTGAGGAGTTCTTAGATCGGTGAGGTTCCACTGTAAGCGGGATGGAGACGAGCCTCCGGCCGGATGCCCGTCCCTCGGAGAACACGAAGCGAGTAGCGTCCAACGCTTTCGCCGCCTCCTCGCTTTTCCTGAACTCGACCTCCAGCGCGCCATCACGCATCCGGTCACAACGAACGATCGAACCAAACCGGTCACAGCCATTCTTCCGCTGGAAGGGCGACAGAGAGCTCAGCTCCCTGTCTGCGCTCCGGAAGATAAGGATCTTAGGAGATCGTGGACCTTTGTCGAGCACCGTTCGCCTGTCGGCCGAGGCCAACGGGCGAGGATCGGCCGAGGCCGAAGGATTGGTAAGAGTGGGGGAAGGGGGGTTGGTCGAGTTATCCATGCGAGTGTGCTTGGTCTCCGCCAGCTCGGCCGCCGACGCTCCGCAACGGCGCCGCTACAAGGCCTGGGACGGCCGAGCTGACTGTACGAGACTTGGCAGCACCTTCCGAGGGGGAGAGAGAGACTCACCACCCCCCACGGTCGGATACCGCCTCCTCCCTTGACGCCTCGCCGAGTCACCGCCAGGGGCAGCGACAGATCAGCCTCACCGACGGAGGACGAGCACAAGTGCCCGAACCCCGCCGGCGACACCTCTCCGACACCACCCCCGGCGGCATCACGACTGGGAATGGCTCCTCAAGTGCGGCGCCCCACTGAGTGTCCCGCCCTTACAGAACTCAGGGCCAAAGAGGCGTGTTGCCTAGCCACCGCGACTGGCTCCGCACGGTGGGGGGCTCAACCTCCAGGATCCCGTTGTCCTGGGGTACGGGTCGGCTCGCCTAGCCTAGTAAAACCGGCTGGTACCCGAGGGGACGCCACTCCCCTTACACTAGCCCAACTCGGCTGTGTTCCTGCGGGTGCAAAAACAACCAAAAAGGGGAGAAAAGGAATCAGAAAGCTGTGATCGAACGAAACGCGGACATCCGGTGAGAAGCAAAGCAAAAGCAAGCAAAGACCGCTCAAAAGAAACAAAACCACGGAAACCAAGAAAAGTCGGGCCGTACCATCTGTCCATCCAGCGATCAAAGCAAGTCGTAGGCAAGCATGGGTCAAGCTGGGGCCGAGGGGGCGCTACTCCCCTTGCTGGCCGAGGCCAGGGCCGCCGCGGGGCAAGGGCCCAAGGAACCCAGTCCGACAGCAACCCGGGCCACTGCCAACCCCCTGCGGGGCCAATCCTGCAGACAATCCATCCAGTAAGCAAGGCAAGTCCAGGTCAAACGCGCGTCAAGCTGGGGCCGAGGGGGCGCTACTCCCCTTACTGGCCGAAGTCACAGCCGCCGCAAAGCCGGGGCCAGGTTACCCCGGCTAAGCAGCAGCTCTGACCACGGTCAGCCCCCTGCGGGGGAGGCGCTGGGAGCCGTACTCCGCCCACTAGAGGCGCTGGCCGCTGGGTGCCCGTACTCCGCCCACTAGAGGCGCTGGCCGCTGGGTGCCCGTACTACGCCCACTCGAAGCGCTGGGTGCCGTACTCCTTCCATTAGGGGCGCTGGGTGCCCGTACTCCCGACTCCGTCCGCCAGAGGCGCTGGGAGCAGAACTCGCTCCAGTGAAGGCGCCGCGCTGGGAGCCGTACTCCGTCCACTAGAGGCGCTGCTCCCTGCGCCCTGCTCCCTCCAGGGCTGACGCTGCGGTTGCGGCCGCCAGAGATTGAGATTGCTTACTATGGTCGTGGCAGTCACAATACGAGGGGTGTTCCAAAAGTTCCCGACCCGACCGTGAATGAGCAGATACGATATCGACTTGTAGAACCAAAAATGATAATTCATCCAAATAATTTGTCAATGGTTGAGACAGTGATCATCCTATAACACAATGATCAGGCCGTATTGCGTGACGAAATTCCAGCTCCCTCGTGGCTGGGCCACAAACTTTTTGAACACCCCATGTAGTAATAGCCCATCCCATCTGCGGTCACACCGCCACAATGTTCTGTCATTCGCAATCGCAAAGTGCCTTACACGTCCAAGCATTAATTACAATCAGTCTTCTTTTTGCGCATCGCACTTTATGCTTCGACTTTGAGCGCCGTCAGTGTCCGACTACAAACTGATGCATCCTCATTGGCACTGATGCATCGGACGCATCCTCGGCAGCCCTAGTTCCACACAAAGCCAGAAGGGCATTATCCGGGAAAGAGAAAAGACTTATTAGGCATGGATGTATTCATTTTTTATGGGCATCGTACAGGTATTATATAACTGTTCCCGCTTCAGTGACATAAAGTGACAACGAGCATCCAGCGGGTTGCAACGCGATATTTGCGATTACCCCGAGGACATTCGGTAGGTATATGCACCAGTATAACGCCTTTTGGGGCGACTAACGGAGCGAGCGAGAGGGTGGGCCTTGCACGTGCGAAATTGCGAGGTACCTCCAACTGACTTGTGCACGGCACCCTACTAACTGGTCACTAGCGACGTGCCAAATTTGGGCACAATCGGCCCAGCCGTTCTCGAGATCTGGAAGCGGCACCCTGCACGTGCGCACGTGCAAAATGGGTCCCAACTGACTTGTGCACGGCACCCTACTAACCGGTCCCTAACTGTGTACCAAATTTGAGCGCAATCGGTCGAGCCGGTCTCGAGGTCTGGAAACGACCCCTGCACGTGCGCACGTGCAGCAGCACCCCAACTCTGGCACATGGATATGCAGTGCCTAGTGGGTGCCTACCTACATGCCAACTTTCAGCGCAATCGGCCAAGTAGTTACCGAGATATTGCAACAATTACAAAACGGACACCTCTTCGTTTTGCACGTGGCACGTGCATAAGGGGTCACCCACATGCATCAGGAATAGTTCAATACTTAGTAGAAGGAATGAAGCTACCCTACAAAAATTACCGCATGTAAATCGGTCAAGTGGTTGCTGAGATATAAGCCTCGCAAAAGCGTCCGCACGGCCGGCCGGCCGCTCATACTCAGAAATTTTCGTTCATCTAAGGAAAGACTCCGCTCGCTTCGCTCGCTCCGTAATAATACGAATCATGGTATGTGCATGCACGATTCCAACACTTTTTCCCCAAGACTGCTTGTGACACCTAGCATTTTTGCATTATTGTCTGAACAATTCATGAAACAGTCTTTCAAGAAACCAATGACTTGTTGGGCTTACTCAGATACCAAATCTCGAAACAGGCACATCTTCAAATGATTGCAATGTTGAAAATGTTAATACTTTCAGCATAAAAGCTCTAGCTATGCATGGGCAAAGCGATGGCTGATCCCTAAAAGCCATTCAAGTTATTTATCAATGGTTATTTCTTTTTTAAAAATTGCAAAAAACTGTCAGCACACCATACGCAATTTGCAACACAACATCGAAAACTGTTACAGAAGTTTTTGTTTACTCCGTTGCCATGGAGACGAAGCCCCGCAAAACTACGCTCCCGGATCGAAAGTACAATTCTATTGACGCCGCATGTCCAGGTTTTATGAAAAGTAGTAGTTTGTAAAATTGTACTTTGAAAACTACAAATGTACAAACTACAATCGGATTGTAGAATCTTTATGAAAAAGGACACAGTTTTCTTTTTGCGCAGCGCACTTTATGCTTCGACTTTGAGCGCCGTCAGTGTCCGACTACAAACTGATGCATCCTCATTGGCATTGATGCATCGGATACATCCTCTGCAGCCCTAGTTCCACACTACAGCACGCCAGAAGGGCATTATCCGGGAAAAAGACTCGTATTAGGCATGGGTGTATTCATTTTTTATGGGCATCGTACAGCTTCCGACTTGGGCATAACTGTTTCGACTTCAGTGACAGAAAGTGACTAGCACATCCGGTGAGTTGCAACGAGATATTTGCGATTACCCCGAGAACATTCGGTATATGCATAATACGAATCATGTTATGTGCATGCACGATTCCAACACCATTTCCCCAAGACGGCTTGTGACACCTAGCATTCCACAAAATATAGCTTTAGGCACTTATAAGGTGGATGGGGGTCCTATAACTAACAACAACAAAAATACCGTGAGGGATGAAGGTCCCATAGCTAATTAAAAAAAAAAAAAATATCAGCGGTAACATTATTCAGACTACAGGTGCTGTTATATGCAGTTTCGTCATAGCTTGATGCTTGATTCATATTTGAATACCACGACTTTCAACACACATGAGCAGAGAGGTCACAAATTCAAAGCAATAAATGCATTGATCTGAGTCTTAAGTGATCCCGCACCCTCTGCACTTGCAGATAATCACTGCACGAGTACATACATATGTACAACACCAGCACCTTACCGAACATCGCAGTAGCTCGACATCGAGTGCACAAGCGAGGACAGGTGGTAAACGCTTCGACTGGCGACCACGAGCAGTTACAGTAAGATTCACACAGGCCACCGCCGTTTTGAAATCGTCAATCAATGAATGACTAGAATAAATGAATAAATAGAATGAATGAATGAATGAATGAATGAATGAATGAATGAATGCACGAATGGACATCAATGAACAGTTGACCGGGAGATGACCAGGGAAGGGCGGCATCGCATCAGCCAGTTCTGTCAGCCGTTGGTAGGCGATGCTACAGATGGTGTTACACACGTGGATGTCGCCTCTGGCGATGAAGTGATGTTGCGGCAGTTCCATTTTCCCAGAGACCGGACTGGCCAGACTCGTCATCTGGTCGTCGTCTGGTGCAGGACGATACCACACCAGCCGTTCAGGAGTGTCCCATTGATACTGACGCTACTCCATCGATACCTGCAGCTCTTAAACCAGCTAGATGGAGACGACTTATCTGAAGCAGACATGGAGTATGGTCTATAGTTAGTATAAACTGAGCTTTCTGCTGTATTGATACGGAAATGTGCTAAATAATTCACTAGGCATGCGACATTAAAAGACTACGGAGACACATAATTGTTATTTTTATTTTGTTTTTATATTTATAAAGTATTTTTTAATGATGTAACAAAGATACGAACACAATAAATGTGTATATAGCAAGCAAATGCGACCATATCCTCACTAAAACGCCTTAGCATCCTTGATCAGCTGGCGGGGAGATAAGACCCGGCCCAGGGACTCACCTCTGTTGTTATTGTTGTCGTGGTTGTTGTATGTCTCACAATGAGACGACTGACGGCACGGCGGCGATAGTCAGCACGTCGTAGACATCACTGTGGAAGGAGCTGCAGCCTGCGCCGGAGTCATGATCACCACCTGAGAACTTAAAACTTCCGTAAAAATGCAGTCCACGTTAGAGAACGGCCTCGCGTCCTGGATCTCACAGAATGGGAAAGCAATAGCCTTAGAGTGAAGCATGAGAAGGCGCGTAACTTCAGGTTACAATCGATCTCAGTTGGGACCGTGATTGCTTCTGCCGTCAAGCGTTATCAAGTGGCTCTGTTACCTACTGGCTGAAACAAAAAAACTTACATCCCTTGGCTGCCGACCACTGAGCCCGGCAGAATGTGGAGGGTCGACCCCAAGTGTCCCCGCTGCACTCCTGCCGGGTACGTTACTTGAGTATCTACGACTTTACTGTGTTTTAATGTCAATGCTGAGCATGCGATTCACTGCTGACTAGACCATGGAAAGCACTAACAGCCGCCGTCCACTGGTTAAGTGTGCGCTGAATTTAACATTGGAGTATATGGGCTGCGCGGCGACTGCGGTTCAGCGCCGAACGCGCGATGAAGCGCAGTCAGCTGAACATTCGGAGGCTGTTGGGCGATGAATCACGTCTGACAGATCAACATCACTTAACTTCTCATGACGATTGAAATGCTGTACCTACCTTTTCTTTTCAGCGCGCACTAGGTGTTATATATTAGTAGCCCCAACTTAGTTTGTTTGTTTGTTTGTTTGTTTGTTTATTGGGGCTTTAGGGCGCGTCGACTGCAAAGGTCATTTTGCGCCCATAACGTCGCGCTAGTAAAACAAGTGTTTCAAAAGAAGAAACTTTCTAGATATCAAGACTAGAAAGTAAAAGACGTTATAAAAAAAAGACAGGGTAAAATAAAACAACGCAAGAGCGTCGTAATAGACAACTGACTAGACAAGGAGACTAGAGAGGATTTGGGTCAGGTCGAGTAAATCGCTTGGAATTTGACTGCGCGGATAAAGGAAAAGATGTTGCCAGATAAAACCCAGGGTGACTCGTCACCCAGCAGGTGGCGGACAGTGGTACCCGGAGCGATGCGGCCGAGGTAGCGCGTCCGGTCTGGTTCTAAAAGTTCTAAAAAGCCCCAACTTAGTAGCGAAATATAATTTAGATTAAATTAGTAGAAACCAATGTAATTATTATGTAACAGATAAAAGCCAAAAGTATGGTAGTAAAATACGAGTACTTATTGTAACGTTTGGTACAACTCTGTTTAATTATTAGTCATTCGGCCCTAAGTGTGTAATCACCCCTAGGATCGCAGGTTTCCGGTCTTCAATGCGATAGCCCCGTGCCTTACACTCGTCTTTAACGTGTCTGATTATATTTCGGTTGTAAATAGACAAATCAAGTCAAGCGACTGTTTCAATACGAAGAGTGCAGTCACGAGAGTGCTAAACAATTGGCGACGAGGATGAGATGACAAAGAAATCACAAAAAACGCCGTGAGTACCTCTGTGGTGACAACAGTGGCGCAGGAATGGCGACTGTGCCAAACGTTCAGCCGTACAAAAAGGGGGAGGATTTTGATCGGTGGCTCCTGTTTGTTTGTTTATTGGGGCTTTAGGGCGCGTCGACTGCAAAGGTCATTTTGCGCCCATAACGTCGCGCTAGTAAAACAAGTGTTTCAAAAGAAGAAACTTTCTAGATATCAAGACTAGAAAGTAGAAGACTTTATAAAAAAGACAGGGTAAAATAAAACAACGCAAAAGCGTCGTAATAGACAACTGACTAGACAAGGAGACTAGAGAGGATTTGGGTCAGGTCGAGTAAATCGCTTGGAATTTGACTGCACGGATAAAGGAAAAGATGTTGCCAGATAAAACCCAGGGTGACTCGTCACCCAGCAGGTGGCGGACAGTGGTACCCGGAGCGATGCGGCCGAGGTAGCGCGTCCGGTCTGGTTCTAAAAGTGGACAAGATAAGAGCACGTGAGCGACGGTAAGAGGCGCGGAACAACCGTTGCAAATGGCCTGCTCGTCTCCGCGGAGGAGGTGGCCATGCGTGGCATATGTATGGCCGATTCGGAGCCTGCACAAGATCACCTCGTTGGACCGGTTGTCTTGCAAGCAAGACCTCCATGGCTCCAAAGTCGGCTTCACCTCACGGAGCTTTCCGCCTCCACGTAGGCTCCACTCTGCCTGCCACTCAGAGAGAATGAAAGATCGCACAGCCGAATAAAGGTCACGCGCCGGCAATGGCAGACGTCGAGTGCAGGAGGCTGCGGCCGCGCGCCTCGCGGCCGCATCTGCCAGCTCGTTGCCGTGTATGCCGACGTGGCTGGGAATCCAGCAGAACTGAACAAATTTTCCCGATTGTTCCACTGACTGAAGTCGAGCTAAAATGTCTTGAACGATCGGGTCAACTGGATTAAAACTCCGTAACGCCAAAAGGCTACTTAGGGAGTCCGATAAAATCAAGTAAGAAAGGCCGTCCGACACCTCGATAAAACACAGAGCCTTCTCGATGGCGACTAGCTCAGATGAAAACACCGAGGCAAAAGAAGGTAGAGAGAATGAGCGGGTATCGCGACCTGCGATAAAAGCACATCCCACTCCCTCAGGTGTTTTTGATCCGTCTGTAAAAACGGTGTTAAAACCATCGTACGAGACGATGTGTTGCAAGGCCCTGACTCGCGCCTCACAAGGCAGCAAGTCATCCTTCTTAACTTCGGAGAGTGAGAGATCTACTTGAGGTTTTGCGTGTTTCCAAGGCGGAGAGGACGTACCCCAGCTACGTCGTACGACACGTAAACCTATGTTGGCTGCGGAGAAGAGACCTCTCATGCGCGCTCCAAAGCAGAGCGATTGTCGCGCTCTGTCAAGTCGAGTGTAGTAGGTGGAGAAGACGTACGGATACGTCGGATGCGTCGGGAACTGACGCAGTTTCAGCGCATAGCGCATCCCAAGCATCTGGCGGCGTAGGGATAGAGGCGGCTCGTGCGCCTCAGCAAGAAGGCTGCTGCTGGGCGAGGTGCGGAATGCTCCGGTGGCGACACGGATTGCAGCATGATGGACTGCGTCGAGGACCTTTTTGCTGGATTGGCTCGCTGAATCGTAGACAAAAGAAGCGTAATCCAGCTTCGACCGAACTATCGATCGGTACAGGAGAAGAAGGGTCCTGCGGTCCGCACCATAAGATGTGCGAGCAACACATTTTAAAACGTTCAGGGATTTAAAACACCGTTCCCGAAGCGTTCTAAAATGTTCCTTATACGTCAAGCGACTGTCAAAATAAATCCCAAGAAACTTCGCCACCGGCCGAGTGGGAATCACCTGTCCGTAGAGCTTGATTCCCAAAGCTAGGTCGTCACAACGTCGGCGGCAAAAGTGCATTGCCACGGTCTTCGCTGTGGAAAAACGAAGACCATTCTTACCGCTCCACCTCTCCAAACGTGTTACGGCGAGCTGCAGCTGTCTAGCCGCGTGTCGAGCGCTTGAAGCAGCAAACCAGATGGCAAAATCGTCGACAAAAAGCGATCTCCCGATGGAAACCGGGAGGTCGTCGACGATGTCATTGATTGCCACCGCGAACAACGCCACACTGAGCACCCCACCCTGGGGAACTCCGTTCTCCTGGGTAAAACTGCTCGAGAAATCACTGCCAACTCGGACTTTAAACCGACGACCCGATAAAAAATTCTTGATAAAGAGGCCCATCCGGCCGCGTATGCCGTACTTATATACTTTGGAAAGTATGCTGTGTCGTAAGACTGTATCATAGGCCGCCTCAATATCAAAGAACAGTGCTCCAAGGTGCTTCTTTTCAGTAAAACAGGTGCGTATCTCGGAATCAAGGGCTAAAATGTGGTCAACAGGGCTGCGGTGCTTTCTAAAACCGCACTGGGCGTTTGTAAAAACACCGTGATGTTCCAGAAACCAGCTAAAACGCACATTGACCATCTTCTCCATCAGCTTTGAAAGCGATGATGTGAGAGAGATGGGCCGATAATGGAGAGGGTCATGTCCCGACTTGCCAGCCTTCAAGATAGGAATGATAATGGCTTCCCGCCAGGTCTCAGGGAAGGTGCCAGTCTCCCAAAGCGAATTGAAGGTTGCTAGCAGCGCCTCGAGGGCAACTGTGGGGAGATGACGGAGCATGTCGTTGTGGACAGCATCCGGACCTTCTGAGACGCTGCGCAACGAGCTGATGGCAGACGTGAGCTCAGCCATAGAGAAAGGCTCGTTGTACACCAAATTTTCAGCTGTGCTGAAGTCCACGGCGGCTGGTGCAGGTCGTGAGGACGGCTCTCCTCGGCAGCGCTGATAGAGTGCACGGCCTATCGTCTCTGCGACGTCTGAAGGGTGAGATATGTCCGTGTTGTTCACTCTTAAAACCGGAAGCGGAACAGAGCTGAACCGGCCTTCAATGCGCTTCATGCGTGCCCATATTTGGGTCGTAGGAGTAAAACGGTTTAAGGAACTTACGTAAGTGCGCCATGAAACAGCCTTTGCCTCCTTTAAAACGCGTCGGGCAAAAGCCCGCGCTCTCTTAAAAGCGATGAGGTTCTCAGTAGTACTACTCCGGTCAAACTTTCTAAAAGCGCGCTTCCTGGCACGAATCGCATCTCCGCATTCCTTGGTCCACCACGGGACCGGAGGACGACGAGGCTGACTCGACGTCTTGGGTATGCACCCGTTTGCGGAGTCAATGAGTAAACATGTAAAATCCTCTGTAGACATCACAGAGGCGTCGGCTCTGGATAAAACCGTGGCCTCTACGGCGGCCTGGAATTCGCCCCAGTCGGCCTTCCGAACATTCCACCTGGGTGGACGGTTGCCTGACACTGGGGACTCCTGGTGCTCCAGCCACACTGGGAAGTGGTCGCTCCCGAGTGGGTCGTCATGGACGGACCAGGTAAAAAGCTGAGCTAGCCGCGGACTGACTAAGCTCAGGTCCAGAGCCGATGTTTGACCGGAGGGTGTTGTAAAATGGGTGCGCTGTCCTGTATTTAAAATACACAGCGCCTCATCGCGGATAAAAGATTCTAAAAGTCGACCACGAGTGCCAGTCGTGTCGCATCCCCACGCCAGGCTATGGGCATTAAAATCGCCGACTACCAGGACCGGAGGTGGAAGCTCATCGACAAGTCGATGCAGCTCAACCACCGGGAGCGCTATACCTGGTGGTAGGTATAAAGAGCACACTGTCAGTTCCCGGTGGTTGAAATCAACTCTGGCGGCCACCGCCTGCAGGGGAGTCTGCAGCGGCACCTGGCGAGCAGGTACGCTGTGGTGAACCGCCAGAAGCACACCTCCATGGGCAATGGTAGGGGTGTCCAGGTCTCTTCTAAAAACAGAGTAGCCCTTGATGGCAAAGGTAACGTTTGGCGCTAGCTTGGTCTCCTGGAGACCTAAAACAAGGGGTGTGCGCCAACGGATAAGAGACTGTAGGTCCTGGTAGTTGGCCCGGAGGCCTCTACAGTTCCACTGTAGAATAAAAGGCGTGGTTAAAAAGGCGCAAAAAGGGCGCGTATAACATGAGGCAAAGGCGCACACAGATACCTGACTGACCACAAAAAAGGTAAAAAGCACCGAGAGAAATGCACCTGGTAAAAAAGCGCAATAGCGCGAAAAAGATAAAAGGATAAAAGAGCAAATGACTAGACTGAAAGACTAGACTAGGTCCTCTAACTCCGAGGAGGCGCTCCCCCCGTAACGGATACGGAAATGCCCCGAGCCCTCTCGGTGTAGCCTCCCTTCAGCAGAGGCAGATCGGGCGTGGCTCGAGCCCTGCTGGGGCTTTTTCGCCCGGGGGGCGTCACCCTCCGAGGGTGACCAGCTCGGGGGCGTCTGCCGCTTGGCGAGGCGCCCTGGAGCCGCGGAGGTCTGTTGCCGCCCCGACGGGGATGTCGAGGCGGCGGCCTGTGTCCTCGACACAGGCGTCTCTGGCAGCGGCGGTGGTGGCCGCCGCTGCGGAGGTGGAGGAGGCGGCGGGGGACCCATGATGGGCCGAGTCCCCGCCTCAGGTGTCTCCGGGGTGTCAGCGGCAACAGCCGCTTTGGCACTCCCGGAGGCGGAGTCGGCAGACGAGGCTTCCTTAGCCTCGAGGGCCTTCTGGACGAGGCGAGCCCTCCTCGCCTCTCGTGCCCTCCTCTCCTCCTCCCCCCGCCGCAGCGCCTCCTGCACCGCCGTGGGCGGTCGGGGGCGGGGCGGGGTGGGTGGCGCCTTACCCTGCGCCGGGGGGCGCCGACCACCCTGTCGGCGCTGGACGACGGCCCAGCCGTCTCCATCACCGTTCGCGGCTGGAGCGGGACTGGGTGGACCCCACACTGACTCTTGAGCAGCCTGCTCTGTGTTGCTCGGCGGCGCATGAGGCGCCGTGGTGTCCGCTGAGTCACCAGTGGCTACGACGGTGAGGCCGAATCGTTTGAGAAGCTGCACGAGCTGCGCTACACTCATCTGGGAGGCATCGGTAGAGTTTGTGACTCTCACCTTCTGGGCATACGAGGTCTTCGGGTGACTCTGGTTGTACACCTCCCGGGCCTCTTTGAAAGACAAATTTCTGGTAGCCTTGATGGTCATGATCTCTTTCTCCTTGACGTATGCAGGGCAAGACCTATCATACGCGGAGTGCGGCGTCTGCCCCTCTCCGCAGTTGACGCATCGGGGGGTCTCCGAGTCACAGGTTTCGTCAGTGTGGTCCTGCGAAGCACACTTGGAGCACGTGGGTCTTCCTCGGCAGTTATCCTTTGTGTGGCCGAAACGTTGGCAGCGGAAGCAGCGCATGGGCGCTGGGACGAAAGGCCGCACGCGAACCTTCACGTAGCCCACGCGAATCTCACTCGGCAAGTCAGTGGAGTCAAACGTCAGAATTATGTTTTTGGTCGAGACCGTGCCTCTCTTCGTCATGATGCGGCGAGCCGCTGTCACGCCGAAATCAGCGAGCCCGTCCGCAATGTCCTCGTCGCTCACTCCCCTCAGATCGAAACAGTTAATGACCCCTCGTGAGGAGTTCTTAGATCGGTGAGGTTCCACTGTAAGCGGGATGGAGACGAGCCTCCGGCCGGATGCCCGTCCCTCGGAGAACACGAAGCGAGTAGCGTCCAACGCTTTCGCCGCCTCCTCGCTTTTCCTGAACTCGACCTCCAGCGCGCCATCACGCATCCGGTCACAACGAACGATCGAACCAAACCGGTCACAGCCATCCTTCCGCTGGAAGGGCGACAGAGAGCTCAGCTCCCTGTCTGCGCTCCGGAAGATAAGGATCTTAGGAGATCGTGGACCTTTGTCGAGCACCGTTCGCCTGTCGGCCGAGGCCAACGGGCGAGGATCGGCCGAGGCCGAAGGATTGGTAAGAGTGGGGGAAGGGGGGTTGGTCGAGTTATCCATGCGAGTGTGCTTGGTCTCCGCCAGCTCGGCCGCCGACGCTCCGCAACGGCGCCGCTACAAGGCCTGGGACGGCCGAGCTGACTGTACGGGACTTGGCGGCACCTTCCGAGGGGGAGAGAGAGACTCACCACCCCCCACGGTCGGATACCGCCTCCTCCCTTGACGCCTCGCCGAGTCACCGCCAGGGGCAGCGACAGATCAGCCCCACCGACGGAGGACGAGCACAAGTGCCCGAACCCCGCCGGCGACACCTCTCCGACACCACCCCCGGCGGCATCACGACTGGGAATGGCTCCTCAAGTGCGGCGCCCCACTGAGTGTCCCGCCCTTACAGAACTCAGGGCCAAAGAGGCGTGTTGCCCAGCCACCGCGACTGGCTCCGCACGGTGGGGGGCTCAACCTCCAGGATCCCGTTGTCCTGGGGTACGGGTCGGCTCGCCTAGCCTAGTAAAACCGGCTGGTACCCGAGGGGACGCCACTCCCCTTACACTAGCCCAACTCGGCTGTGTTCCTGCGGGTGCAAAAACAACCAAAAAGGGGAGAAAAGGAATCAGAAAGCTGTGATCGAACGAAACGCGGACATCCGGTGAGAAGCAAAGCAAAAGCAAGCAAAGACCGCTCAAAAGAAACAAAACCACGGAAACCAAGAAAAGTCGGGCCGTACCATCTGTCCATCCAGCGATCAAAGCAAGTCGTAGGCAAGCATGGGTCAAGCTGGGGCCGAGGGGGCGCTACTCCCCTTGCTGGCCGAGGCCAGGGCCGCCGCGGGGCAAGGGCCCAAGGAACCCAGTCCGACAGCAACCCGGGCCACTGCCAACCCCCTGCGGGGCCAATCCTGCAGACAATCCATCCAGTAAGCAAGGCAAGTCCAGGTCAAACGCGCGTCAAGCTGGGGCCGAGGGGGCGCTACTCCCCTTACTGGCCGAAGTCACAGCCGCCGCAAAGCCGGGGCCAGGTTACCCCGGCTAAGCAGCAGCTCTGACCACGGTCAGCCCCCTGCGGGGGATCGGTGGCTCCGAGGCTTGGACTACTACTTTGTAGCAAGTGGCATCATTTGCCCAGAGCAGAAAAAGGCCACGCTAATGCACATCCTGGGGTTGGATATTCAAGATCTGTTCGAGACTCTGGCCGTGGTATTTGTTTGTTTGTTTATTGGGGCTTTAGGGCGCGTCGACTGCAAAGGTCATTTTGCGCCCATAACGTCGCGCTAGTAAAACAAGTGTTTCAAAAGAAGAAACTTTCTAGATATCAAGACTAGAAAGTAAAAGACTTTATAAAAAAGACAAGGTAAAATAAAACAACGCAAGAGCGTCGTAATA